CACGCGGACCGGGCTCGGCTGGTGGCGGAAGTGCTTACGCTACAGCAGCAAATAAGTTGATAGGAGCAATGGTCGACAATACGATACGCCTACAAGCGTGTGTAACATGGCTGGTTTACAGGCGTTACGATCAGGAGTCCGGGTGTGCTAGGGGGGCGGGGCTCCTAGTCCTGAGGACCTCATTCAATGGACGTACTACTTTAAGGGGCGCCAAACTGTTTTTAACATTTGGGCGCCAGACATAATTAAGACAGAGAAAAACACACAGTTGAACAGAACTGAGGAAGTTCTTATTTCAAATGTTTTTAAAGTGGTCGTCACCATCGCCGGCGAGCAGGCCATCGTGCAGCCGCGTTATATATCTACACCTAAAAGGATGATACGGCACTTGTCAATTTTCTGAACTAACAATGTCATCTTGAAATCTTTATATATGGACTACACGAGCGAATTTGGGCATTTTTAAAATTTCGTAAATTCGGGAAAAGTATGACCTGCGGTGATGTAATATTTAGTTTAGCATACATGCTGATACTAGGTCCATGATTACGATGAATGCTAACTAACAATTACTCGTTCTTGTTCATTCTGAGCAACAAAGTATAAAGCCTACCTCGTTTTTTCTCGAGTAAACCTAAAGCTGTATTTATTGTGAAGATATCTCGATTTTTTTTAACTTATCAGGTATAGTTATATACCTGATAAGTTGCATCTTTGACATATAAATTAGAATTGTATTCAAAAGGGGAGAATTTCCTCAAAAAATATTAAATATCACCTTGCTAGTAACTCAAAATAATTGTAAGCATCCTCTTGTCAACGTCAAAAAGATGCAACGACTCTTATAGTCCTATAGCACTATTCAAATCGATAGATATAGTGAAAGATTTAGCTGTATCTTTCGGAGTAACGTGGAGTAACGTGCTATGCACCGAGCATGAACGAAGGAAACATCTTAATCGATGCGTCGGTCGGTAACCATCCAATAAAGTATGGGAGTTGTGTTAGTCAATTAACATATAATACACGACTACGTTGCAGATGTGCAGCCTGGGTGCGCTGGCGCGCGGCTGTCGGCCGCCCGGCGCGCGCTGCTGCCTCTGCTGGTGCTGCTGCTGCTCCTGCTCCTGGTGGGTACCCGGCCCAGTGCCCGGTCCAATGTCCAGACCAGTGCCCGGCTGAGCGATGCACGCGAGCACGCAAGTCCTCCGCGTACCAATAGCGTGCCCACCGGCGACACGAAACGTCCTGTGTAAATGATAAATTGACGACACATATCTTGTATGTAAAGCTTTACTTTATCTTACCAAAGGAAACATTAAAATCCACCAAAAAAAACAATGTGAAAGGATCGAAAAGTAGCATCACGCCCAGTGCTCTGGGCGTGATGCTATGCGACAGCCGCGACCTCATCGATATCTTCGAGCTCACATATTCATATCATATTTCTTGCAACGAGTTAAAATGACATTGTGTAAGTCAAATTGTTACCCCTTTAATCACGTTTGAACTAGTTTGCCCTGAAGGGGGACACTCGGGACCCAATCATGAATTCCAGCGGTCAACACGAGGTTTTATAGCTATACATTATGTAATGAAATGACATGATCCAAGTAAATCTATAAAAAAGTAACAAATAAAATCTCAGCGTCTGTATGTATAATATGAACATAAAATGTTTATATTTAGTGCATCTTATGTATGTCTCTCTGTCTGCAAGCCGATTTTGACGGTAGTAGCTCATGTATGCGGGAGTAAAGCAATTTTTTTTTCAATTCCTCGCTGACGAATTCGCGGGCAACAGCTGGTAAAAATAAAGGATA